ATAAAAATTGAACCTACGGATCTCTGAACAAATATACTAATCGTCATTGAAGAAAAAGAAATTCTAAAGAAATGAAAAATTTTTTTCATAATACCTTGATAATTTGAAAAAGTAATACTTCAAAAGATAATCAAAATGGCACAGCTTATACAGCCATTTGAAATATGGAATAAATTAAAAATATGTTAAACATGTAGTTTGATTTAGAGCGTAACTCATATCACGAGTAGTAGTGGACGTTAACTAGCCACCATTTTCTTGTCTCGTTTCACATCCGAGATGGAAGCTTCCTTTCCGATGTCACGGTTCATCGATCAACGCTAGCAACAATTCACGGCTACTTTTCTCGTTCAATTCCACGATATCGTGGCTGGATCTGCGGGAAGAATATAAATTCTGCTCCAGTGGCACCATGAATATCAGTTGATCGCCACATCAGCTGACTACACGAGCTGCGTCAAGGCTGTCGTAGAGATCAAATGAATAATGTACCCCTTTCAGCCAGCTGCATAACGCATCTCGGTTCATTTTTAACGCTCATTTGATAATAATGCACGATCGACTATTTCTGCACGTGTATCCCCGGAAGTGGAAGAAAAACAACCGTAGCATTTTGAGGTTAGAACCGACGAGACTGAACCAATTTTATAAATTTCAAGACACAGCTAACTCAATACAACTGGAGGGACTTTATCGTATAACAAAATACTTAAAAAATGAATAATAATTAATTTAATATAAATTTGCAAAAGTTAAGTGCAACGGAATGCAGATTGCACTATAGAACCGAGTGGACGGGAGGACTTTTCCTAGAAACCGACAAGACCGTACGAATTTTTTCGTTGAAAAGTAAAAAGCAAGGTGTGCATAACGAAAGTACATAAATCCATCGAGTGTACCATCGGAAAAAAAGATGGATGAACCTTGTAGCTTGCGCTAAGGAACCGAACCGATGCGACCGCAGCGGATTTTACCGCGAGAACGAGTTAGACGCGTCTACGCGGACGTGGGCGCAGAAAAAGGTTGCTCGTAAATCGATGCTAAAGAATTCGACCTTGCGAATGGTAAACGGTCGAGGAGTTGGCCGAATCTCGTCACCCAAGAACCTATATACCGCGAGATCGATCTACTCGAACAAGGACTCACAGGGCTCTTTCTTGGCTCTTCGAACAACTTCAGGCCTCGTTCGGGCCTGGGTGATCGATCTCGACTTGCATAGCGAGGGAAACCGGATTCGATGGCGGCTCGACTTGCATGAAGAAGCGCGAAAACGACGAGTCGCGCGGCGACTTTGAACGACGAAAGCATAGTTGCCGTGGCTGGTTGCAGCCAGTGCAATCGTCGGCAGACGGGCTAACTTCGTATGACGTCACCGCGGCCAGCGTATCATTTTTAGCCCACATATACACAGCCGCGTTGCCCGCTCGTCCCTCTTCGTCCCCCCCGCCGACGACTTCGTCGTGTGGATGTGTTTGTGGATGCTCACATACACACACGGTCGACACACTCTGGACAGTGCGAGTGACCGAGTGCGCGGTATAGGCCAAACTGAACACTAATGATGGATTCGAAGCGCATTAGAACTTAAATTTGGTCTAATGAAGGAGATTAAAAAAATGAATTTAGATTTGAGAGATTCTCTATATAATTATAGATTCTATTTAATGTTTAAATTATTTGAAATAATTTATTTTTAAAATTGCATGTTGTATACAATTTTTTAAATATATTGTAGTGGAGGAATTGATTCCAAATCGACATAGTACAGCACTGAATGTCGATATTTTATCTAATATCTTCTTAGTCAGTCACACGTGAGTGAAACACGTGTTTTTTGCTAATCGATTAGATTAAGGCTATATTTGAACAGTTACTGTATTTTAAATTTGTCAGATGTTGTGATTGGTCGAATACCGTAGGGGTCATGAATGGGCGATGATAATGTATGTTTACGGAATGAGTTGGTTTGTTTGAAAGCATATGCTTGTAGGTAGTCCGAATCTGTCGCTAGATGCAAGTGTAGGCTCGACCTAATGTTTTTGTGGGCGATCGTACATTCCCGCGATTGCATTGTGGGCGCTTTCCCTTGGCACTAGTGACCGAGCTGAAAACATTGCTCGTTCATACCGCGAGTTCTTGAGCACGACATTACTCCGTGTGGTCTTTAGACGAGTGGTTCTCAACTGAAGTTCCTTTGATTCCAAACTAGAAATATTTGTCAATGAACAGAAATCAGTGAAAAAGAATCATTTAACAAAAACCCAACTTAATTTAATTTACATAGACAGACAACTTTACCAATAGAAGCAAACTGCATATAATTGTTGCTCAAATGGTAATTATGTTTGTAAGTAAATTTAAATGGTAATTAACGACAGAATAAAAAGCTGCTTGTAACGGCTCATGAAGAAAAAAAGTACCGATATTAAATGGTAGTTAGTGACAGCAAAGAGCTGTAACTGATGGAGAGCGTTTGAAGCGAGAAAGGGAGAGCTGCGTAGAGGCGAGTACGATGAAAGGATGCTTCGAAAGAGCTCGCAAATGACGAGGAAAGTGGGGAAATACGAGGGAACGAGTGCCCGCTTTCAGAAAGCAGAGAACTGGCCGCTTTTGCTGGGAAAGGTTCCAAGCAAACATAGAGTCGTTTCCAACGTTATAATTTATTACAGTTTCAAAATACCGCAAAAAAAGATGAATGCTTTATAGTATTCTAAGTTGAAGATACAGTAGGCGTTTGATAATTCCCGCCATATATAACAGCCGCTCGATAATTCCCAAAGAAATATGAGAAACTGGAAATTTCAGAGGGACAGTTTGTAAATACAGAAATTGAAGAAATTTTTGGCGGTGTCGAAAGTAAAACTACCATCTGCCCGTGGTTTCTGGCAATGGTAGCCGGAATGTGCCTCGCCAGCGCGGAGTAAGGACGAGGACAATAGCTGAGGATGCATTTTCATTCCTCGGACGCCTGGTGAATCCCTAATAGCTATGGGAGTGGTTTCGTTCACCGAGATATATCACTACGAACGCGACGCTTTCTTCAGGCCACAACGTGTCTGTATAATTAACCCTCGCAAACGATTGCAGGCTCGTTTGAACTCAGCTACAGAAATAATAGCAATTTTGTTTAAAAACCTCATGCGAGAAATACATTTACAAATGAAAATATAATTTCAATTTTCTACATGCATTTAATGGGATTTTAACTATAGGTCAAAATGACCATAATCTATATTCTGTCAGATAAGAACAGTAGGGCGATTTTAAGTACCATTAAGATTACACTAATCAGTCGGAATAGCAAGTGGAAGTATTGATTAAAAAATTAGTTCTTCGTGTATCTTTGATGACCCATATCAAGGTTACTTCTACTGAAGTAGTCAATGTCTGTTTGGTTCCTTCCTCTACTTCCTAGCCCTGAACGCTAGGGATATACCAGGAAGTAGTAGATTCTACCAGATTTGGCTGATCAGACCCGTCTGGTAGACGTTCCAGTTTCGAAGGGGTTTCGTCCGTCTGGAAAACAGCGGTAAATCCACTTGACTGATGGAGACAGTCTGCAAACCTACGGTCCTATTCTACTTGCGCTGATTCAGCTAGGTCCGGGGACCTAGCGGAGAGTCTCTTCAAGATAAATCGCCTGTAAAAAGTTTCCTGTTACCATGGACAGTTGACCAAATTGAATTTTCATTTTCGAAGCTTATCCCCTAACTATACCCATGACTGTCACTGGTGACCCACATAATTGATCACCTGAAGTATCCAAGACACCTGATCGTTCGGTTGTACGTTATTGGTAGAAGGTTCCTCGAGTTTACATTGAACGACAGGGCCAGGTGTAAATCGATATTGAAAACAGTCTCGTGATTGGATGCACGCTAACGCTAGTCACGAGCCGTAAAGGTTAGCACTGCTTATCTCACGCGAAAGTCGCATTAATAATTCACGCCTTGGGCGGTGCGCGCTGTTCGAGTCGAACAGCGGGCTTGATTTTAGGATTTCGAGTGTGGAATCTGGCTTGATGAATCGGGCCGAGTAATTTAACGATCAACAAAACCTCGACGCCCGATAGTGGCCCATGTGGCCGATCAAATTCTTTGTCATTAGGGTTCGTCTCGAGTCATCCATTTCGCATTCGCGCGAGCGAAACAACCTGTACTTTCGTGCCCTGACTCGTCGAATCGTTAATGACCCTTTCTTTTCTCGAGTTGTAATGGGCCTACGGTGTGGTTGATTCAAGACTCAGATGGTATCGTTAAGAATAAGATTCGATTCGAGTCCATAATTTTATTCAAATATTAAAAGATTTAAATTTTTTTTAAATTCGAAAAAAATAAGTAACTAAGAATACATATACATATTAAGAAAATATTTAAAAATTTAAATTTTTAGAAGTTAAAGTTTGGCCACTTCAGAACCGACAAGACAGAATAATGAAAGTTAGATAACGAGTTATAAAATTTAAATTTAGTTAACTTTGTTTCCTCCTCTTTTACAAAATACATTATCTACGTAGTAAAACGATGGCCGTACGAAAGTTACTTGATCGCCCTAGAACGCAATGTTCGTGCCTCAGGGATTCACCCTTGAAAAGCGGGGAGCGAAGATGAAGGGGGAGGGCGTCAGCCAGAGCCCTCTGTGTTGCATAACGCGCGCGTATAATGCAATTGCGGCCAGACTGGAACGCCCATTAGCATGGACGAGAAAAAGAAGCTTCGTTGCGTGGCGATTGCACGCGTGTGCAACGGAGAGTGCAACTGGTGTTTGGGCTCAATTTGCGCATGAGTGCTCGAATTTCGTGGCGCGTGCTTCGATTAACCATCGTTACGCAAATTCTCAGTCGAACTGCAATTCCAAAACTCGTTTGGAAATAATTAAATTCATTGGATCTAGTATTTTTTAGTTCCAAATTAAAAAACACTTCAGAAAACTTATTCTAGTAATATATATTCTTCAAAATCCCCAGATATTGCTTAGAACCTAACCTTCTATTGCCATATCACTAGAATTTTACTTTCAAAGTCATAAAATCCCTAGGCAGTGCTTTCTAGGTTATGTTAGTGCTGTTTAGGGACTTTTGATCAAAATTTGCAATATTTTTTTTTAATCGAAGGATGTGAATACGAAGTGGTTATAAAATGCTCAAAGAACTTACGTATTCCGGGGGAAAAAAAAAAGCGAAAAAGTCACGTTCACGCGATAAAGCCAGTCCACGTTGGTGTCCTTAACACTTAGGCTCGACCAAGCCGTGCAGTCGATGCAGTTTTTTCGGTGCACATTCTAGATAAGTGGTCTCGTGGTCTCGAACGTGACGCGAACATCAGCGTTTGCGGTGAGTATCCTTCGAATTCCTTTGTTCTTGCCTCACCGGGGATCATCGGGTTCTTTGGACAGTTTCAAGCGTTATTGGATTACGTTCTTTCTGCGGTTTCTTCGGCTCTCGATCGTTTATAAATACTGGTATAGGTGTACGTCGAATTTCGTGGTCACTGGCTATCGACACTCGATAAAAATCAACTTTCAAACACGAAGAAAGAACCTGGATCCTCGCATAGCCAATGTGCTATCATTTTGACCTAGTATGTACTGTGTATACATTCGCATGTATAGTTCTTCCTATGTGTCCATATTTTATTATGATTAATTTATTATGGGTCAAAGTTGTCTTTCGAAGATTTGAAGCTTAAGACGCCATAGTTTTATAGGGTATGAAATTTGAGGTTAGGTTGGTGCTCGACCGACCGAGAATCGACGTGACTCGGGGGATTTTATCGGTCCGCTCGAAGATGCAAATAATTACAACGAAGAAACGTGTTGCATGCGCACGAAGGCTACTTGCGTATTCGAGAAGCAAGAATGTATGCACCGAGAATGCATTCTGCATGTGTGCGTAGTTGAAGTTTGGTTAGCGGGAAACTGATGTGACTGAACTCGATCTTCTTGCATGAAAAAGAAGCAAATATATTTTTCAAATAAATATACAAACATTACTAAAGACACTGACTATTCATAGGTGCAGTAAGAAAATATTGAAGTCTGTCGAAAGTTAAAATTTGATCATATCTAAACTAATTTATTATATAACACAAAAAGGCTTCATAGATGACTGAGAAAATCTAGAAACACATATACGATGTAAATATTTGTGAATTAAGTGAAAAAAATTGGATATTATTAGAAGCTGTAGTTAGATTACCCTAGAACCGATGAGACCGGATTGATTTTTCAACACAGATCACAAAATCAGCACGTTTTAAGTAAATAAATAAGTGCAATGCATCTAAAAACGTATATGTAAGTAAGTTATTTATAACTATAATGAGAAACTTGAAGATTTATAAGTTTTATTAAAAGAAATATTCAATTTTGTCCACGATCGAAATTTGAGAACCGATGCGACCGGATGTTCCCTACTATTCACTCGATTTCGCATAAAGTTACATAATGCAGCACATAAAACAGGTCACAAATATTATTTATGAACTTGATAAACAACTGTATACGTACGAATATGAAATTTGAATTTACGAGTGCATATAAAAAGTTGTTATTCTCGCTGAATGATTAATCGAAACATATCGGGTAACAGTAATATTGTTAATCAGCAAAATTTTCACGATTATTCGTTGCTGAATCAGTCGATCGTTCGATGACTGTTTGACACTGCAGCTCGACTTCGCAGACGCGTAAATATTTATCGACAGATGAGGGGTCACCCGGCGGAAGTGGTAACATCGCTATTGGTATAGGTTAGTTTATTTTCGAGCGGAATACATTATCGATCGTGCCGTTAATCGTATGTATATGCGATGTAGGCACCGGCTGTGTTGTGTCGTTTATCTTGTTCCTCTATTCCTCTTGATCAATAAAAAAAACTTGTGGGTGAAATTAATTTTATTTTTTTTAAATCCTTCATGAATTATTTTTTGATTTCGAATTTGAAACGTGCAGTTTTAAGTTCATTAGCATTTGTGTTCTCGAATGAAAACGATTTTCTAGAACAGGCGAACGGGTTCACTTTCGTGCGATTCACAATCAGCCATGGTCAAGGCTGAGCACGATTACGTTCCCTCGTTCGCCGTCTAGAAATTACTATTTTTTTATCTTCTTCTCTCCTCCTTTTTTCGAGAAGGTTATTTGCTGCTGTGTCATTGGCGTCCTTGCGATCGTGCACGCTCTCATTGTCCTCGCCAAATGGTGTTTCATGCGAGGAAAACACTGTTGCGTTCTGCTTGGATTGTCGTAAGAGAGGTGAAAATAGATGGGTCTTTTTACACAGAAAAGTGTTCCATTTATAGTTCTTTCCAAGTTCTGTTTTAACCGTGAAAGTAGTTAGCGGTAGAATGTTCGCAGGTAATTTTGGATAAGTACTTTTTATTGGGAAAATTCTTGAGTGTCCACAAAAATCACAAAGAATAAAATGACAACAATATCTTTAAAAATCATAAAATCCACAAGGACATAAGATGCACCAGACTTACAAAATTCTAAAGACCCATAAGCACTATGCAATTAACAGGGATTCACGAGACATGCACTTTCATTTGCAAGACACACACACAAAAAAAGAAAATGGCTAGCAAAATGATCCTACGAAGATTGATGGAAGAAGCTGTAGACAGTGGATGATTCAAGGTTTTCAAGAGACTGTATTTTTTTTTAATTCCAAAGTTGCCGATGTACTGTACAACAGCGTTGCAATAATATCCGCTCCGACAGGCGAAAGAAATCGATTGGCTTGATGACGTTGTCAGAAACGGGTGTCTGTCCGCGTGGAAACCTCGGTAAAACCGTGAGGCTTACATAACCCCGAGGAAACGAGACTTCAAGTAAAGTCTGTCAGACCTGAGAATCATTGATACGGCGTGGGAAGGTAGATTGAAGAAATGTCTGCCATGACAGATTCAATTCGAGGACGAATTCCCGACTAATTAAGTCCTGTTGATGGAAAACGATTCTGTATTGAAAGAATTCTTAATTAAAATATAACCTGGAAGTAGCAGGTCCTGTGTTTGAATCTCATTCTTCATTAATTTCAAGGAACCAGACTGGTATTATAACCGCATCTTTAAAAAAGAATCATTACTGCTAGCCAAGCAACCCTCGCAAGTAGATAAAAACCTTCATCGGCTCATATTTTCATAAAAATAACCATTAGAAACCCTTGAGCATCAGGTGGTACATGTATGTCCCTTCAGTCTACAAAGGGGTTAATTCCAGAAAGAAAACTTTCAGAAGAAGGGACACGAAGCTAAGCTCAAAAGTTTCGAGCTTCCATTGAAACCAAAACTTCTGAAACACTCGACCATCAAGGGGATTAAAGAAAGACGAATGAATTAATCAGCCGTTGATCAGCAGGTATTGTTCGTTCATGTGAACGAAGGAAGCGTCCTGGACGAAAGAGAGAAAGGTCAACGGAGTAAGGGGTTAGTGTAAGAGAGAAGGTGAAGAAGGAAGAGGGCCGTAGGTATCGTAATACAATACTATTAGTTGAACTTGAGCTACTTACGAATGACCTTGTCTGCTTCAACCACACCGATTGTCCTTTGGTTCACGTGTGCGTGAATGCACGTCCTGTTGTGGCTGTGCTCATTGTTTTTTCACGCTCCGCCTCGGGTGCGTATCACAACTCGCAGCTTGGGTGTCACAACACTAGGCGGTGAGGTATGTGTTTCGTCTGGTAGCGAAACAGTGTTGCAAAGCTGAGGTTTCGGGTTTCCTCTAACCGTCCTGTTGCCTCTGATTTCTTCTAGAACCTTCTCTCCCTATTTTTAGTCGTGATTGGGACTTATTCCTTGGGGGTTATAGTCGTGGGACTTGGAGACAACATAAGGATCCAAGGATCTAACTAATAACAGATTTACAGATGAAGATGGGAGAGTCCAGCTTAGGTTCTTCCTAGGTTCTCCTAATATAGTCACCTTTTGTTGCAAATAGTCATCTTAAATGCGAACCAAAGACTTGCAACACAGCTAATATTCATAGAGAATTCTACAGTAAGGAATTATCCGGGTGTCCTCATTCAGCAGGGTACTTGTGAAAACGGTGTGCCATTGAAGTAAGTGCGAACGAAGCATAAGTAACATTGTTGAAGCGATTGCTATTCTCCTGTCGCGCAGTTAGAAGTGGAAGGACAATGGGGGAAAGAGATCGTTGAAAGGAAGGCAAGAAAGCAGGAAGGAGGGCAACGAGAAAGGGGAGAGGGACGGGCAAGCCTTAACATCTGTCCGGAAGTGCGTAGACGCCTTTCCATTTTCGTTTTCATTTGCATACGTTCGTCCAGTGTGCCTCGTAATACGATGCAATCGTGTTGAGTACCGTTGGAAACGCGTCTTATGCTCCGCCTAATTGGAGGATGAAATGCGAATGAACAATGGGAAATGACTCTATAGAGTTTCCAGTCAACCCTTTGTAATTTTGCTAATTTCTAGGTCAGGTTAAGTATTTCCTAGTTCTTCAGTTAATGTAACATTCACAATGCTGAGGAAATCAGAGTCTATCTTAACTTCGTTGCGACATCCACATTCCTTGCGATTTTATCGGCTCGGTCGATAAAACAGAGCCCCCCCCAGTCCCTCCAATTTTTAATCAAATCTCATCATTTATTTTATCTCAGTGCAGGTGTGAATTACCGTCATCGATATTCGGATATCTCCTCTCTATAGGAACATTCGTTGCCGCGACCTTTTGTAGCCCAGAGGCTGGTTATCTGGATTCTACCCTCCGCCGTAGATTCACAGAGATTCGATCTAAATGCAAGGGACCTCATGGCTGAAAGATACGCGAAATCCTCATAAAACAGTGGACATTCTTAGACTTTCCTCTTGGACCTATCTGTAGAACGGATCTGTCCCCTTGGAATCGCTGTGAAATTGGAGGTTGGGGAGACTTCTGTATTAGACTACTTTCAACAGATCCCAAAGGCTAGGTTGAGGCATTTACATATCTTCTTTCCAGATGCCTAATGGAGAGCGTGCCAGGTGAACTTCACGTTGTGGTAGGTCTAGGTAGTCAAGTTGCCTCTTCTCGATTTTCACGGTGCATTCGTACGGGTAATTTCGACGAGAGCCGAGCTGGTTAGCTTCTTTGTTGCCTGGTCTCCATCGTGGAGTGGCCACGCAGAAACACGCGCGTCGGCCGACGATCGGAGGGTGAAATTAAAAATACCGTGAAACCCTCCCTTCTTGCCTGTTTCACGCTCGTCTCTCTGTTTCCCTCTGACGCGTTCAGGGCCGTCGAGCACGAAAACGGGGCCCGGCTACCCTTTTGCCCGCTCGATCGAGGCCAACACCGTGATTTATAGGGTATTTACCCTTCTATTTATGGACAGTACGGACGGTTCTAATGTTAAGGCCTAAAGGGGCAACGATTATCGTTATTATTATTGTCGTCTTGTGGTTCAGTTCACTTTCAGAGTCGGTGGAAAACATTCGAGTCCCTGGTTGAAATTTTCTCGCCTCGACTAGAATTTTATTATTTAACCAAGGTAGATGTAAACGACAGAGTCTCCTCGGGATCGTTTCACAGTCTCAGACGGTCGGTGCGTTCCAGTTCCGTGGAAATTAATTTTCCGTCTTCTAACAGAAATGCATGCGCGTTAAGTGCAGCGTGCCCGGCGATCCTCCAGCAAACGCATTCCATTTCGAATGATATTACGTTCCTGCCTCGTTTTCTTTCCAATTGCGAGGTAGGCGTGCGCTGAAAATTGCGAGACGTTCGCCGAGAACCGCACGTCGCTCCGTTGATCACGTTCACGCGACGAAATTATCGCGATTTCGAAACACGATTTTAATTAACGTCAGACGCCGCAGTTTTTTTGCAACTCCTGACATTTGAAGCTGCACAGCATCTAACGTTAAATGAAAACTGAAAGAGTAGCCTTTCACTTGCTGGACACCTAGGACAGTGCAGGAACTGAGTATCGTGACTGACTCAATGTTGAACTAAAGAAAGTTTTAATTAATTCTGAATCAGAAAAGCTATGACTGAAGCTTTAGCACCATTGCTGGTCGTAAAAGGACTATAGTGTTAAGGTTACTCCTCAGTCTAAGACTACAGCCTTAAGACCTGATGTTAGGACCAAGACTATAGGAGCCATAGAAGACTGTCGATGCTAAATAGCCGAAAATTTCTGTTTCCAGATGGTGGTGGAGGTTGATTACCATCGGGTGGAGGGCGGCTGCAGGGCCCAGGGCGATGTGGCTTGCAAGTGGGAAAACTCGAGGAGGTGATAACGACTTCTGACCTTCCGTGAGAGCGTGTACCGTGGCGTAGAGGGCCTTGCCATCGATCGTCAAGTAAAAGGCTCACCATTCGGAAGAAAACGAAGCAGAAGAGTAGAACGAAGACGAAGAAGAAGAAGAAGAAAAAGAAGAAGGAAATACAACAACGACGAAGGAGAAGAAGCAACGGAGAAGGAGAGAGTGAGTGAGGCGAGCTCTAGGGGGGACAGAGGATCACACACGTGTTCTTTGGAAAGAGAAGAGAAAAAGGGGGTTGAAAAAAAAGGCGGGAGAACCTTGAAAAGTAGTCCCTTCCCCATTGGCGAGTTTGCCGGACAAATACAAATACACACATACACGATATAATAATACACATATACATAAAACATTCTCTCCACAGCGGGATCGCTGTCTACGTTTAAACAAAATAAAAAAAAAAAAGAACTTCTACCTTGAGAACATATACCTCGTGCGTACAAGTACCTTCAAACTTAACCTCTTTCGCAGCGCAATAGTGCCTAGGCCCCTCTGAAGAAAATAATAATAATATTATATATAATAACGTCGTTATAATATATATTATATATATATTATATATATGTATAATATATATGCAGTGAGAAAGAAGAGAGAAGGGAAACAAATTTAATGAACAGAAACGACGAGAAGAGTATAACGTTTTAATTATATATATACACACACATATATGTATATCTTCAGTCAACAACGAACGGACAAGTCACATATGTACACGTACCACATGTACATGCTCTTCGTGACCGTCGTTTGTATGGATTGAAAGCAGTAAGTTTTGCAGACTTGTTTGGACACCACATACCGGTGAGAGATCAGTACTGTCATCCTGATTGACAGAGGATCTTATCAGGAAATTGTCGTTGATAACGGTACCTCCACAATCCTCCAACCCTCTAAAGCCCTTTTAATCGATTCTACGAACCAGGACAGCGAAGTACCTGCAGACACAGATATATTTATAAGAATAATTTATATGGATCATAGAAGTGTAATTACCGATACTAAATAATTAACGAGGAGGATAGCGGTAACAGCTAAGGGCAAAGAGAATAATAATTATTAAATATTGAATATAATAATAACGTAAGCTGCTAATCGAGAGAGAGAGAGAGACGTAGAGGAGAGGAGACAAAGAAGGGAGGAAGATTGTACAAGAGGAGTGTGAACGCTTAAATAATTTTACACGCGCTACGGTTAGAGTACTTCTACTTTGCGATTAATCTACTCAGCGATTGCGGGGCCTGTTCTACGTATATATCAAGGTAAGTGATGTTTTCTGAACTGTTAGTACATCTTTACTTAAAATGAAGGAGGGGGGTTAATAAATGGATTTTTTATTGATTGAATTATGGAAATTCAAGCATCACCGACATAAGCACCAGCGAAGGTGTAAAAACTTTCAGACACCCAGTGTATCGTTGCTCGGCGAAGAATGTCTGTTTATGGAAAGAACGAAACCTTAACAGTTCCCCGTGCTCCCACGATACATATCGAGCGTGCTTTTTCGCACAATCGATCGACACGTGTCGCGGGAATTTTTCTCATGGTTAGATCCTTAAAGTCGTGTTTCCTTGGCGTCCCGACAGAGAGCGTTTCATTAGCGCGCCGAATCGGATCCGCGATCCAGGAAAGAGAGGGAACTTTTACCTGGATATCTGTACGCGGGAATCTTCGGCGTGATAATTAGCAGGCCTGGACAGAAAAGTGATGGCCGATACGCGGAATGAGAGTCGCACGAACGGCAGTGAAAGGTGGGCACGCGATACACACACACCATACGCTGTTTATCGTTCCCGTCGATCTTCGTTCGGCGTAAATTATCCTACGGAATTCTCGTTACGATCGTGTGCTCGACATTCGACGCCGATCCCGACCGTTCACTTTCACTCGACGGTGCGTCCGACTCTCCTCTCCCTTCGTTCCGCGATTATTCGACACCGTGTATGAAATTCACGTCCCGAGCGCGACGTGGGCCATTGTTTTTTTTTGGACCTATGGCACAGTAACCAATGGAGGCTTCGCGTAATGGCCGACTAAAATGGCGGGAACAAAACCTAACCTAAAATTAACCCAAACCTAACCAAACTTACGCCTGAAGTGATTAGACACGGACTTTATGTATACTGTGAAGACGAGTGAAGAAAAACTATGACATAAGTGGTGATGGGATGAAAAGAAGTAATAGCAAACGATTAGTGTTGCAAGAAAGATCCACATTCTAATACAAATTTAATCGTCATCCTTCGAGCGTTCAGCACACATTCAAACCTCATCATAATCCTTCAGCGGTAATTTTCTTAATAATATCCAACCGCAGAGTACATCATAAAATGATAGAAGATTTGAAGAAAAACAGAGGAGGATAGAAACTTTACACCCAAATGGTTGAAAAAGCGATACAATTAATTTCTTGTGGTTCAGAGCAAGTGCACGAGTCACATGAGCTTCTCTATGAAGTAATTGTAGAAGTAAAAAGCGTGGAATCGAGGCAGTGGATGCGTCAAACATTATACTAGCTGTGTGATTCGTTGTTTTTCTACGGTGGAGGACTAACGGGCACCTGGACGAGTCGTCGTTTGGCTCGCTGGCAGTACAGAGTCATTGTCCGGCATTTACGTGACGAATTTCCCGTGCTCGACGTCTTCACGAGCATCGTTCTGTCGTTCACGGCCACGCTATTCGCATTTTAAGAGCTTTCTAAGAAGCCATGGACAGCTAGGCTACTGATAGCCCTCGGTTTTGAACTTTGTCGTCTTTCTACTGGTCTTTGACTTCGTTCCTTGCACGTTCAGACACTCTTCGTGATATCACAATGATCTGAATCAATTTTTACGAAGATTTAATTTCTGAGGCTTATAGTCAGGGGTTCCCTTCATCTTCAAGACTTATTTCCGTTTTTTTTTATACAACTTTTTATTCCTCTCATCTTTGAAAGAATCTTATTTCAAGAATAATTAGTTGCAAAATATCTTCGTGAATATTTATTATAAAATCCACAACAGGTGTGTTGATATAAAGGGGTCTGTTGTCTTTAATTAGCATTTAATTCTGCAATGATGGAATTTCTTCGAAATTTCTTTTCCACTTCCTACAAGTTCTAGTGTATATAATGCGACAGGAATCGATGTCCAGGGAACAATACCGAAGAAAAAAGTGTTTAGTTTTACAGTTAGCGAGAGCTCGTTGAAATTCTCGACAGTGTTGCTCGCACGCGTGCTTCGATTATTTCTTCAGCGTCCCACGAAGACTGTTCGTGATTTCACGCCAAGTCCTCGGTCAATTGCTTGCCTCGATATTCGCAACGATAATCGTGCTTGAATGGAACTTTTATTCAAAGTATTCAACAATTCAGTTCCTTAGTTTTAAGTATTCTGTGAATTTGATAGAAATTTTAAGTTATCTCTGAGAAAGAGGATTCTAGATCGATTAGGTGCATCCCTAACCTAGTCCCCACGGTACACCATTGCATCATAGCAACCGGGTCTCATAAAATTGCAAATTGCCCCGGAGCACGAAAAAAAAACGACCTCAGTCGATCCACGTGTCAGGGGACCCTGAATTTTCCACCTGTTCACGAGATCAATAATGTACCCCTAGCCTTGTCCAGCATTGGACTCGTCTGCAGACCAGTCTAGACACTATCCCATAAATGCCTGCCCTAGTGATACTGCAAATTGCCCTAAAACACGAAGAAAACGACGTCGTTTGACCTAGGTGTCCTTGGGTCCTAAAGTTCCACACCTGTCCGCTATGCTAGTAGTGGTCTCGTTAATCCATTTAGATCCCCTAAACCCTTCTGCGCCATCAGACTAGTTTAGACGTTATAGCATATCCAGTTCACCCTATAAACTCGCAAATGATCCAGGAGCACAAAAAATCTACCCTAGTTAACCCAAGCCCTCATGGCCTCCTGAATTTTCCACCTGTTTGCGGTATCAATAGCACGGTCCTACCCATTCGTCCCAACACCTGCTGCATTAGACTAGCCCGCAGACCAGCCTAGGCTCTACACCGTAAATATTCAGTCGTATGTGGGTCTAGAAGGACCCATTTAACCTTGAATACATCTTCTGTGTAATATAACATTCATCCTTCTTCAGTAAGTGACTGTCATCTGGGTCTGAATCATTTAGGAAGAGTAACTGGGATAAATTAATGATTAGAATCACTTGATAAGTGGAAAATCCGACTTCGACTTCCAGTTCAGTGAAAGTTTATCTCTCTGTGACTGCAAAGTGCTAAAGCAATAAATGAGGGTGCGAAAGCTTGTGGACACTGTTTGATAGAAAGTTGCAGACTTTCCTAAAACAAAGACATCATCTCGACGTTTCAGTGATACCAAGGACACGGTTCGTTTAGCACCCTGCACAGCCACTGCTGCGAATCGATAGCCGTTTCGCAGGCACGCCCGTCGGGCACCGTGCGGGAAGCCAGTAGGAGTCGAAATCGGCGCGCCGAGACGCAAGTGTATTCGCAGGAACGTGCCAGCGTGGCCGGTTGCGACACTTGTTTTGTGACCTGGATATCTCCGCTCTGTACCCACTACCTCGTATACCCAGTTGCCTCCCCCCACCCTTCCATTCTCGCAGTCCCTTCCACACCCTGGTGTCACCCCCTGCTCCTGCTGCCTCGACCCGTCGATGCCATTCGAATATCTGGTTCACCGTGTCTCTCGACCACATGCCGAGCGACCAGCCACTGCATGTCACCCCTCGTGATCCACCATCCCCCACCAAATTCTTGCCGGGACCCCTGTGACCTCGGCCTCGATCCTTCGTTTCGTTTGCTCGCCGGAGGGCAAGGTGAACCGGGGGAAGTTCCGGGGTGACTGCGATTAAGTTCGGTTAGGGTAGGTTCCTCGTCTTAGTGTAGGGATGGTTCGTTGGGTTAGAGGTCTTCTGGATTGGACGGAGCTTTGAGCAACGTTTTTGGAAGGTTTAGAACATCGCAGACACGGTATAGGGCGAGTGCAGATTAAACCGTCAAGGAGGGGTGTTTAGGACCGCATACTGCTTTCTGTTTTAGGGTTCCTTTTTAATATATTTACATAGACTACATTCTCAGTATGTTACTCGATCCAAAAAATATTCTTATCAATATCTAGGTAGTTTTAGAATGAAGCCTTATCGTTATTTGTCCAGGTTCCACAAAGAGAACGATTTTAATGGTTTTCACGGTTTAGTTTCGTTACGTGCGGACGCAACACGCGCATAAAACTCACACAAGCGTCCAGAAAGAGTAAGCCAAGCCGTAAAAGGATTGCGAATCGGTCTCCATCTGAAATCGCCGCCAAGACCATGTTTGGTGTTGGTTATCTCGTTTTAACAACGGAAACCTTTGAATCGCTTCATCCATTCGTACCTCTACCTACTTTTTTTTCTCTTTTTTCCCCCTACGAATCTCCCCATTCTTCACCTTTTACATAACTTTCTTATGACGAATTCGTGGAATCGTGATTCACTCGGTCGTATCACGATTTTTCTTTCGCAAATATTTGACTCTATAAAAACGTTATAAAATTTATTTCATTGTCTTCAAATCGTTAGCGACCTTTGAAAGTAGATTTTTAGGTAGCGAGATAGTTTGAAGGTTCAGGTATGACTGCCTGATCAGTGTCGTAAGAAACTACTCTCGTTTTCCACAGCGAAATGTTCCCGACGTGGATAGTAAGTCGAGGTCGCGCGCGCACACACAGCTTTCTTTCAATTCGTGCTCTACTTGTCACGAATAGATGGATGACTTCGCTCATGAATGATTCAAAACGAATGGGTTATTCGTTTCTTCTGATAAAGAAAAATAGTACAAATCCGTAAACAGTGATCCGGGGATCAGAAAATAATTTATTTAAAACACTTTCATTCATGAAGTTACATCAAACGAGTAGGAAAAAGAGGAATCACAAAAATGGGGAGGGAAAGCTGAACAATTGAGTCTAGGTCCAAGGCACTGATCATCTAGACTTTCTGTGAAATAAAAGTGAAATATTCTCACCTCGACCCTCAAAGTTCAGTTGGTCCGTCACCAAGTCTCTAATGACCCAGTGGCACAATCGATTCCCTTTCCGGTCGATTAAAAAACGCGCACCGCCGAGCAACGGGTTCGCGCAGCGAGCACAGAGAAATCCATCCTTTCCCGTGGATTTGAAAGCCCGTACAGCCCTGCAGAGTGGTTTGGAGAGATACATTGTGCCCAGCGGCGTGTAATCTGCGTTAGGCCTGGAAACTACTCTCCCGGGCAGCCAATGATGCCACCAGAAAGAAAG